AAAGGCTCTTGATCCTTCTTTGGGATTGGGTCCTTCTTGCTTTGCTCCTTCCCAGAATGCCTGCCTGAGGTCTATCTAGCAGAGAAATGCAGCTGACATAAGGCTTGGCCTCAGAAGGCTACACACGGCCTAAGCCTAGTCTGCCCCTACACATAAAGGCTGTTCTCAGAGAACTCAGTAAGCCATAGCCGCACCGAGCTCACAGGCTGACTTTTGTGGGAAATAAGAGCCACTTCTAAACTCAAAACACAGGGCCAGGGGCGCAGAGCTCCTGCTCCATCTAGAATGCCAGCTGCTCAGCCTTTCCTGAGTTTTGTCTTCCATGGTCAGGAGTGATCCAAGGGCGCCACACACGAAGAAGGCATGGAGAAGAAAGCTCCAGGAGAACCGGCTGACACACAGGGGAGAACCGAGGGCCCCCGCAGCACATGCTGTACAACCAGGCAGTACGTGCCGAGGGCCCTTTTTAGGTTCTTGCAGTGCTTTCTCCTGTACTATCCTCAAAGGGTTAAAAGAAATAACAGAACTGCACTTGGCAGTAGGGGTTGGAAGAGGCAATGTTTTATTTCAATAATTAAAGTCCTGACTAATAGCACATTATATTCTCAAATGTTGGCTTTTTAAAATCAGAATTGAACTTTTACACAATCTGTTTAATACACTGGCATGCATACCTCTGTACATATATAATGATGGTAGCTAGGATTCTAATACTTAATTTAGAAAATTTGATGAAACAGAAATGTTAAATGTGCACTACAATGAAAACACTGCCTAGTATCAAGCAGATGGCTTTTATTCTTGGAAAATTATTTTGAATTAGGGCAATAACTTCATTAATTAAAGAGTTCCCTGTAATTGTAGATGAAGGCTACTCTCTGGCCCAGGACAGTGTACCCCAATTTGTCTCTTAGTACGAATCACTGTATTACCCACCATGGCCAGCCCAATCCTTCCCATTCTGAGGGTAGGAATCCCAAATAACCTGGCAAGTTATTATGAAGTGTTAAGTTTCAAGCCCACGTTACTAAATGACAAATGGTTTCTGGAATTGGATTTTGTAAAAAGTGTAGATGAGTAGAATTAGTTAATTTCCCACCTCACACTACCAAATAACAAATGGGTTTTGGAATTAGGTTTTGTAAAAAGTGTAGCTGAGTAGAATTCGTTATTTTGATCAGTTCTAAAATCTTTTAAGAAAATATAAAATACTTTTCAAGTCATGGTGTTAACCTCACTGAAAAAGATGTTCCATCTATGATACCTCTCAGGCCCTGGCTGCTTCTTGCGTAGTTTTATGTGAAAAGGTGACAATTGATATTCCTGTTTAAGTGTCACCAAATAGTAATTTTAAAAAGCTCAACTAAAACTTTATATAGATTTAGAGTAAAAGCTCTGTTGACTCAAATATAAAAGTAACTTTTTAAACAATTCTCCATATCTCAGAAATACAGGAATTTAAGATTTTGAGGAAATCTTTCTGGATTAACCTATCTGGCTGTTGACAATGGTGAAAAGTGAATGAAAGCTTATCAGCAGGCTCATAAATCAGTTGGTAGGCAAACAGAGGCCTGGTGACCCTGTGATTAGCGCCAGCCATGCCGTGGGAGGGCCCCTGTGGGAGTCGGACTTCTGCCACGTCCTAGCGTCATGCCAGCTTTGTGAGGTGGGCACTATGCCAACAGCCTTTACAGCAGGGGAAGCCAGGCCTGCAAAACTGGCCCAGCACCACTCGCCTCTAAGCTGGGGTCCACTGTCCGGCTTGTCCCCCACCCTGCGTGCTAGGCGACGCAGTCATAAACAGAGAAACCATGCGGTCACCTCTGTCTTACTGCCACCAAATGAGGACGAGGTATTGGGAAATATAGTAAGTTCCATTACATATGTAAGTATATCCAACTTGCAATTCTATTGAACAAAACACTATAGAATATGACACCTATTTTGTAATCTGTATATCTCTAAAACAATCCTTCATTCACTTAAAATAATTGTGAATCTGAATTCTCTTAAAATTTATTATACTGAGGGGACAATCTGCTTGTGCCCCCTCCTCTCCCTTTCTAGGACTGGAGCTTTCTTTCCCCTAATAAATATATTCTGTTCATAAAAAAATATTATACCGATCTATCACCATAAACAAATTTGTTTCTAACAAGGCTTTTTTAGTTGTCCATATAGAGTCCTCAGATTAATTTTCAAAAACTACACTGCATTTAACCAAGTTTTTATACACTTAGCAGTATAAGAAATTCAAAAATGTGAAGTTTTTTTCAAAGTTATTGTAAACTGAAATGTTCAGAATTCTATTCAGGTAAGTTTTAAGGGGAACCAGCCAATTTAACTGCTAACTATTCAGAAAGTATCTGCATATATTTGTGGTTTGATTTTTTTTCACAATCTTCTGTAAGATCAGATGGAGGTAAAAAAAAAAATAAGAGCATACAATTTTAGAGTGTTGTGGATGTGGGGAGAAAACAAGACACAAATTAAACATGATTGATCTTGATCCTTGATGTTTTTTGCCAACTTGACCTGAAGGCAAATAATTATATTGTCAGTAAAAAGTTTCAATAAATCAAGACTATAAGGCTTATTAGCCATGGGGTAGTAATATATGGCTCAAATGCATACCATACTACTTCAACTTAACATTGCATTATGTTCCATAATTCACTAAAATTTAAATAATTGCCTTAGGTGTTTTATATATTTTTTGCCTACTAGTCTAGCTATTAAACTGTATATATGCTATTTAACTTTATAATAACTTATAAATAAATGAACTTGATGCTTGCAAAGTAAAAGGGGTTGGAGAAAAGGGGAAAATAACAGAGGTGTGTTATGTACACGTTCTAATTCCCTACAATGAATGCAATCATATATTTAAAACACGTACTAATAAATTTTTTAAAAAACCCAGAGATTCAAGACAAATGAAATATGATGACCCTTCATATTATTGCTAGTATTTGCTTAGCCTTTCTAAAAATATAACTGAGATTTTATATAAAAGTCTGTATGTTTTGTATTTTTGTTGTATAAGCTTTCTCTCATGAAAACTGTCAAGAGAATTAAACAAATTGGGAAATCGCTCTATTGTAAAATGATTATATCTTTGTATTCACTCTTTCTCAATTTATTTTTCCATGGGAAAAATCAACATTTAAAAGGTTCCAAAAGAAGCTGATAAAATTATTTGATTGTATTTTTGGAGATAACTACATTTACAAACTTAGCTCACTGATTTTTTTGAGATAAAAATATCACAGGGAAGTAAAAATAATCAGCCCTCCCCTGCCCCCAGTTCCACAAGCTATAGATAAAATTACTGAAAGTACTTTAAGAATTGTCTTATTTTTAATGCATGGAAAATAGCAAAATTATCATGCTGGCATAGGAAATATATACTATAATTTATAAATGCCTAATTATCAAAATGATGACATAGTCATGGTTAGATGCAACCTAGTAATCTTTTATAAGATGCAACTACATATTGTATGATCATTCCTGTTATATATTACATTCAATCCTCATTAAATTACACTGACTATGTATAAATGGCATTTGAAATAAACATTTAATATCACGATAGATCATATTCTGCTACTGTACAACCATGGCATGCAAGTCACAAGGCATTTACTGTAAATCATCATCACCTTCCAGAAATCCAAACATGAAAAGCACGTACAGAGTTCTAAACATCAATTAGATTAAATGACTTTCATATTAAATAAAACTATGTTGTATTCAGCAGCTTTGGATATCTGTCATTTTTCTGTATCCTGCAGTCCCCCTAAAGTTAAAACCTGCAATTCCAAATAGGCCTGTGAGTGCCACTGCACTTTAGTGAGCTGTTGTGACTTAGGACAGGAAAGAGTCTATGTTCTAATGTGAAACCGTGTCATTTTATTTTTGCCTCTATCATAATTCAGAGTACTGAGTTGTGAGGAATGTGCTGAGTATAGCCCTCAATGAACTTATTGTTTAGACTGGAGACTTTCTGTCATGGCCCCAAGGCGTTTATGTCGCAAGCAGGGATCCTGCCAACCACAGGATGCTCTTTTCTGCTTACATCCTAGGTGAGACAATTGACAAGAAGGAACTTGGGTCACAGAGTAGCTGGGGAGCTGTCACCTGCGAAATATAGTTCATCATATTTGTAAAAGGTAAGTAAGATCTAGCAGCTAGAAGAAGAAGGACAAAAGAAAATGACAGGTTCTTAGAAAAATGCAGACAGACCATTTACTTCTGATCCAACGAGTCGTAGGCAATTAAAATGTGCCACATTGGAGCAGAAGCTTGCGTGCTGTAAAATAACTATTTCAGTGCTCTTCAGGTTGTGATGTTGGAGCTGTTTGTGGAAGAGGGGAAAAACTGATTGCTGGACAGGCGTTTCCATGCTCTATCAGCTCTGATAATGAGTTAGGCAGTTGGCATGGACTACAGGAATGTCCTCTGCACTCAGAATTCTAATAAATCTCTGGTGAAGTGGCACACGTCCTCTAAACAGACTTATTCTGGTCTACATTCCAGGTAGGTAGAAAATTGCTACACTCTTTAATCAAGTTTGGACGTGATATGGTCATGTGAAATATTTAAATATATTACCTGCTGTTATGGTGATCTTAGACATTCCTCCAAAGCCTCACACAGTGCTAGGGCTTTGGCTTACATGGCTGATGCTAGAGTGTGTGATGTTGGGATTAAGGGTTTGTGATTACTAGCTAGATCCACTGGTTGATTTGGCATAGTTCTGGCTGGGAGTAAGGGCGGGAGTGCTACGCACTGCATACAGTATAAGGGACAGAAAGACTTGTCTCTTTCCCTTTTGCTGTCTTCCAACCCCATGAACTGCTGCCCCTGTACCTTGTGCCCCACCCTGCCTTGGAGCCAGCCAATTATGGACAGGAAACTCTACATACTGTGAGCTAAATGAACCTTTCATTTAACTTTGGGTGTCAAGTATTTTGTTTCAGCAATGAGAAAAATAACTGAGACACCTTCCTTCCACTCAATCAAAATCTTGTTTCTGCATTTACAGTGAGATAAAATACTATGTAAACCATGGGGATGTGCTCATCTCCTATTCATATACAGGTGGCCTAAGTTGGCTTATGAGACAAAACTGTACAATTTTCATTGTTCAGGCATTATAAAATGTCTTTCTTTAAAGTCTTGGGATATAAACAGTTGCTTTATATGAATTACATATCTCTATCTGCATTAAGAAACAATATACATAATCTTCCAGAGTAATTTAATGTTAACTATGATAAGCCTAAAATACAGTAGTAGTAAAAAGTGACTTCATCACTGGTGTGACCATCAGTACTGTTACTTTTATAAAACTCATGAAACATTCTTTGGCCACTTGGGACATTGCCCATTTGCAGGGGACTGTCCTTGGGCCCTGGATTATACAGAGATTGGCCTCTATAAAATGTGGGATCATAGAACAGCTTTAACAGAAGCCATTTACAAGGTAGGTCAGACAGAATCTGTCAGAAAGATTTCCACTTCTCAGACACAAGTTCCTTGACGTGTGGAGAGGTGTTTTCGATTTCGGACTCCCGATGTTTTATCTTTATTATCAGAAGTCTTCTGCTGTGAAATGTCTATCAGGGCACTGGCAATTGCAAGGCCTGGAAGAGAAAGCAAGACACACATAAATGCTTATTTAGACCGTTCCAGGAGGGACAGTGACAGTGGTGTTTAGGGTCCATCTTTATATTGCTTCACAATTAGCCATGAATGCTTAGCTGTTCATCGGATATTATAAAATAGTGCACTTTATACATGAAGAGGAACGAGGCTCTAACAAAATCAATCTAAGTCTAACTTTGAGCAAGTTCAGTGTTTGATGAAACATCACATTCAGTAGTGGAGAGAAGTCCGCACCTTGGCTTCTGTGTCTGAATGCTGTTTGCTCTGGATGTAGTAGGACATTTTGAAGTTACTAATTCATTTTTGTTTTTTTAGGACTAAAACTCATCATATCAATGTTATTTTAAAATGTAATAACAGTTTTAGGTTTACAGAAAAATTGAGACAGTACTGACAGATGACTATCAACTACAGTCCATGGTTTTTATTAGTTAACTCTTTGTTATTCAGGTCTATGGATTCTGACAAACGCATAATGTCACGTACACACCATTACATTATCATACAGAATAGTTCACTGCCCTAAAAATTCTGATTTGTGGGGCCGGGGAGATGGCTCAGTAGAGTAAGTACTTCCCTGGCAAGTGCAAGGGCCTGAGTTCAATCCCCGGTTCTGAAAAAAAAAAAAAAAAAAAAAAAAAAAAAAAAAAAAAAAAAAATCTGATTTGTGCTTTTTCTCCAAACCCTCCAGCAAATGCTGATCTTTTTCATGAAGTTTCTATAGCTTTTCCTTTTTAGAAAGTCTGTCATATAGTTAGAATTGGAAAGTACAGAGCCTTTCAGACTAGTTTCTTTCACTGAGAAATAAAAATTTTCTCTGATTTGGATGTTGAATGTGCCCTAAATCCCATGTATTAAAGGCTTGGTCACCAGGATGGTGCTATTGGGATGTTGTGAAATATTTACTAAATTTATAGGAGCAATGGTTCAACTATCTTTCCTGGTTTATCTGAGCTACATATGAGTCATTTTAGTTTCTTTTGGGTCCCATAGTTCTTGAGTAGAAAAAGATGTCTCAAATTACTATTGTTATGGTTTGTGTGTATTTGTCCCCCCAAAGTCTCATGTAATCATGGGGCGGACTACTAGAGTTTGTGATTAACTCATGATCCACTGGTATTATGGGTGCCAGTGCTGCTGGGATTATGGGTGTGAGTGCTACTTCCAGCCTGGGCTGAAGCCTAAATGCAAATTAAAGGAGGCCGACTTCTCTGTAGCCATTGTTTCCGCTACTCCTCCCTTTTTGCTATTGCTGTTTGGCACTGCCATGAAAGGTTGCTCTCTGCCATGTGCTGCTCCGCCTTGGAGCCAGCTGATTATGGCCTGAAACCTCCAGTAACTGTGAGCTAAATAAACCTTTCCTTCCTTCATTTTGAGTGTCAAGTATTTGTCCCAGCAACAAGAGTCACTGAAACAAACTATATTGTACTACCAGGCCCAGACCACTTAGCCTTATTTAAACCAAGGTCACTGAAGAGCTTCGCTTTATTTCCCTCTCTCTAGCATCTTAGGAGACTTGACTTTGAAGAGGTGATCCAACACCTGAGCCCTCACTGTTGTTTTCTCCATGAGTTGCTCTTACAGGAAGAGCTCTCTTTTGGACCTTACCCTATGTAAGATGTCACTGAATTATTCTATTCCTGTGAATCAGCTTATTCTAGGTAAGCTTTGGAATTGATCTGTCCAGAACAGAATTTGAGAAATGTGTGAATAGAAAGAAACGCTGTTGCAGACCTGGGCCCTTCTGAGGAAGGACATCTAGACATGCTGTATTACGGAAGCCAGGGAGGGCGCAGCTCAAGAAGTCTGAAAAAGTGCCGCATAGGCCATCAGGGTCAGGCCTGCTGACGGCTCAAGTCGTCAGATTCCCTCAAAGAACATTCTGGCGATCTTTGAGCCATTTCTGAATCTAACTACAGATGGAAGCTCGAAAGTTAAGTAGGAAAACAGGAGAGGAAGGGTGGCCGACATATACGAGCCCCACATTTAAGATGTTTAGTGATGAAAATGGTAAGGAGAAGCAGCTGAGTCAGGTTAAATACGCAGTACCTTGATGCGTGTGATCCAACAGGAGAATGATTGAAAAGAAGAAAACGTGTTTGGGGAGAAGGAGAAATTTAAGGCGCTAGAGAGGGACGGGATTACAAAACTGCAATAATCACCAGCTAGGCTAATAATGCACATCCACCTCTTGAGGCTTGCTGTCAAGTATCTGTTTCTTTCAGGATATTAAATATTATCCTGAATTTCTTAGAGACATTGTACATTTAAAGTTTAAATAAAAATTGCATTCTTGATCTGTGACTAGCTCAGTGAACATCTGAAGTATCCAGTACGAACGTTTTCATCTCTTATCCTTCCGTAGCAAATAATTATTTTCTTATTTTTCTACCAGATAGAGATGAAGGGCATTCATTAAAAAATCACAGACAGTGATTATGCTAACGGAAAATATTTCCACAAATCTCTTGGAGTAGTTCTGTCATCATCTACAACTTCCCGTAATTTCATTCCTGGCACCATTTTAGCTAGAGACAGCCAAATATGACAAATAATATATGTCTTCTTTAATGTGACAGCGACCACTTACACTAATTTCAATGATCACACCACCCAAACATGAAATCATGTTGTTCATTAAACTACTGCATGACCTAGTCCAAAGGAGCCCAGAAAAATAATATTTGCCTTTCATATGTGGCTGCAAAGATTTTCTTATAGAAGATACAGAGCCAGATGAGAAGCTAACAGTTTGGGTTGCCAAAATGGGAAATTCTATACTAATTTTAAACTGTCACAGTATCTTTGTGTTTTAAGGTATATGAAGTCCAATGTCTAATTAAACTACTATCTCCCCAACATGTCCTGGGTTTACTACTGATGTGGAGGCTTAGAAGCACATTTAGTTGAAAAACAAAAATTATAAACCATATATCAGTTCTTAACTTATAAATAAGATAACAAATCATGCTTAATTTGACAGCTTTTTATCCTCTCCTATGAAAATCTAAACATCAACCACATTTTCAGGTTCTCCCTGAAGGCTAGCAACTGGGTGGAGAACCTTGCATCCATCCACACTGTGTGCCCACAGAGAACAGTCAGGGTCACTGTCCACAGCTGGACATGTGGGGCAATGACATTTTCATGCAGAGTTAAGCCTGAGTCCTTTACTAGATCACACATTTTGTCACCCTATAGGAATTATTTAGCTTTATAAATCTTGTAATTTAATTATGAGCAATATACAAGCATAAAACTTTTGGGTGTACCTCTACATTTGCATGTATGTCTTCCTTGAACATAGCAACTGCATCTATGCGTATGTGCATATACCTTGACTGGCAAGTCAAATTTAAGCTTTTATTATTATTTCTGTGTTTATTTGTGAGAATGAAGTGGAACAATCAGAAGGTGCTAGGTTCTTTCATTCTGAAAGAGGACCTGGATGCAGAACAAACGGGGGAACAAGGTCCCTGCCCTTCCGAGTGGCATTACGTGGGGAAGCTTCATGAGAATGAGAAGCACAGGGAGGAAGTAATCCCTATCATTTTGCTTCACCACACTTTATTATTGCAAGGGAGCTAATTTTCTTAATTGATAAAAGGAAAAGTAAAATTAGTATACATTAAAGAAGACACCACTGCTTTCCCATCCCCTAATCATACCATTTATAAGCTGATGAAAGAAGGAAGACATGGATAATGGCCAGGACACCCATGAAAATAGAAGTCTGATCTGTAATCTACAACAGCCTACTCAGAAAACCAACTCATTAACCACAATGACCAGCACAGGAAGCCAAGCGCCTATAATTCAAACTAATAGGACTTTAAATTCAAACTATTACTATTTCTGGTAATAATCCATGAAGTTAAACAATAAACTCTAGAAACATTGTCCTCCAATAGTCAAAATAACTGACAGCAAGCCCTAATTGGTGTCCCCACTTGTAATTTAGGACACTTAGAGAAAAGCAAACACGTAGCTGTAACCAATTGCAGAATGTGCCACTTCTGCTTAGCCTGCCTATGCAGCTTCTTAAGCCCACATCCTCCAATCCACAGGCCTGAAGTGGCCCTGGTTGCTTCTTGTGGTGGATTGCCAACTGGTGGGCAACTTGGCACACCCAGCTGAACTGAACTAGTGTGGTGCTCGCAGAATTGGAGAAGCTGTTGAGAAGCTGTTTGGAGAAGCTTCTGGGGAGCTGTTGGTAGCTTCTGGTTCTCTTAGGCCATTCTGCTGGGGAACTTGTCATGCTGGCTTTCCTGATGAACTTGGATATTCTTGTCAGAGGAAGAGCTTGGGACCTCATTGTTGCTGAGAATGGCTATAGTTCACTTCGGGGGAGCTCTTGTCCTCACTTAGAGCATGGCTTCCTGGCTCCCGAGGGGAAGATGGTACATTGCTCAGTCTCAGGGAGAAGCTTGTCACATTGGCTTTCTTGATGGGAACTCAGCTATTCTCATTGTTGGAGGAGCTTGGGACCTCACTGTTGCTGACGATGGCTGTGGTGCTTCCATGGGGAGCTCTGGTTCTTACCTTGAGCATTGCTTCTTGACTCCAGTTCAGACTCCTCAGCCTCCTAGCACAGATTGTAATCCTGTTAACATAGACTTTTTAGCTTTTGCTCCTGACCTGTGGGCCTTTCCAGTGCAAATCTATGAAATGGGCCTGTACGAGACATTGCTATGGGCTCTAGGCTTCCAGTTGGATTCACTTGAGGCATTGTCATGGCTCTGGGTCTACAGTTGTACTCTGCAGCACATTATCACAGGGTCCAGACCCTTAGCTGGATTCTTTGCTCTTCAGTGTGTGGATAGATTTCTGATATTCTTTTTTTATATGTGATTCTTTGGGTGACTCTTACAAATAATCTTACAGAATGTATGTCCTGTATTGTGTTGTCTCCCCACCCTCCATGCACAACCCCAAACCACGAAAGCTTTCCCTCTCCTCTGTCTGCCTTGGGACACAA